AGTTTTAAATGACTTCTTAATGACAATGGACGGGAAGGATAACTGGGATGAACTATTACCATACTATACATACTCATACAACACCACTCCACATAGCACGACTCACTATACACCATTTGAATTAGTATATGGTAAATTATGCTCTTTACCTTGTGAAATTATTAAAAGCAAAGAATCATTCTACAATTTAGACAATTATATAAATGAATTAAAAATTAAACTAAGATATGCACATAATCAAGCACAAGAAAATTTGTTAAAAAATAAACAACATAACTCCAATACACAAAAATATATTTACAAACCAAAATTTAAAACAGGAGACTACGTATATTTAAAAGTAGGAAATAAGAAAAAATTAGATAAACCTTTTAAAGGTCCTTTTAAAATTATATCACAAAACGGATCTAACAGTACTATAATTATAGACAATGTAGAAAAAGAACTACACAATAATAATTTAATAAAACCTAGAAATATGTAAACGTATATAAAAATATGTAAAACTATAATATAAAAATAATTTTGTCAATTATGATTACAAAATCATTTTTTTTTATAGGGTAAGGGTGTTGTGTGTCTACAAATAATTAGTGAGTAAGGTCAGTAATGTAAACACACATGTGACTGCAATATTATGCAAGCAAAGCGTTAGCGGCCACTTGCTTTGTCGAAACGATCATATTGCAGCTTGCACATGTGGGTCACTTTTGTGAAGACATTTGTAGTGTTGTATTTTCTAAAGACGATGAACTCTGTAGAGCAACTGTGAAACGATTGGTTTCACAATTGATATTTCTCAATAGATGAGAAGTCAATATAAATTGAATTAGAGTAAAAGAAAAGCAATGAGACATTACTACAAGAACATTTAGAAAATACAAGACTACAAAATAAAATAAATTATGATTGGTCACAATATGAAAATATTGGAAAGTAACTGAAAAGTGGGAGTGTCTTAGATTTAAGGAGAAATGTAAAATTTACTATAAAAGCAGTGTTTGTGCACTGAAATAAACAGACTTGTTTTGAATCAAGAATCGGCAGCATTGCCTCGTTTTGTTCTAACTTGTCTCACCAATAAAAATAGGCCTTGAGGCCATCACCCTTTTAGCGTGGCTCGCTTAAAGCCAAAAATTGAACAAAAATACCAAAAGGTGAAATGAACACCAAACACCAAACATAACAAGTTTTAGCAGATTTATCTGGTATAGCTACTGTTACCAGATATTTTGTTAGATCACAAATCATTGTAACAGCGAACTTGTTGCCATATTTGGATTCTGGTAAAGGTCCTATCGTGTCTATTACTAATAAATCAATTGGTTTAATAGGGGTTGGCGTTAAAATCAAATTTTCTTTTACTTTAGGTTTGACTTTATTCAAAAGACATTTGTCGCAGTTTTTGACAAATTTCGCAATGTCACGGGTTATGTATTTCCAATAATATTTTGTTCGAATTTTCGCGTACAATTTTTTCATTCCGCATTGTCCGCCTGCGATCGGGTCGTCGTGGTAAATTGCCCATTAGTTTTAATTTTTTGTCGTCATCAGTGACAGTTTCTACGGTATCTGTTAGTATAATTTGTAAATACTTTAAAATTTTATTTCCGCTGGTTTTCAAGTTTGTAATAGAAAAA